TTTGCTAATTGTTTATCTGCAAAATATTGTCACCGTCCATGCAAACATTTTCAACTGCAGAACTCTTTCACTTTCCGCTGCAGAGTTTTTGTAACCATAAAACAATTTAACAGCCCTGCTATTGCATAAAACGTTAGTTCATTAGCAGTGATAGCTGGTTTTTACTAGCACAGCTAATAAAAAACACAGTAAAGACACTATTATCCTCCCTGTGCTAATCAAACTGAACCCATCCACCAAGTAAGTTTGTATGAGTGAAAGTCACAAACCAAATCAGAGTGTGCTGAAATTGAAATGATCCTTGCAGATTATAGCACCACACTTGACCTTTTCTGTAAGTGAGCAGCTATGGAAGCTCTGCGGGGACACACTGAATCAAATTTGATGGAGCGAGTGCACAATAATAATATATAGTAGTAACTCTTTCATTTCCAGCTGCAGAGTTTTTGCATTTTCAAAAACTTTGCAATCCCTTCAGAAAGAAATGCTCGTGAATTATTTTTTGCATTTTCAGGAGGTAGAGTGATTCAGATTTAGAACTCAGTGCTATTTATTATTTGTGTATTATGTATTTCTGAACTTTTCTTTTCAACTTTTTCTTTGCAACAAACTGAACAAACTACTCATATTACGCCAGTTTCTGATCTGATGTTATAATGTTGTTTCCTCATCAAAAACATACCTGGAGTTGTGTTTTGTTTCACACACGTTTAACACACAAATCCTGTATATTTAGGAGCTCTTCTCTCAAACAGAAAACATGTTTTAAACTCCATACACTTTCACTGTAATCATTTGGATAATTTTAACCTTGGAAACTTTCTCTCACTTTCATTTCATCCCAAAATATCAGCCTTTTTTTTTTTCTTTTTCTTAACCCAATCCATCTTCTTTGTCCTCTTCCATCATGTGTTCTGAGTGGTCCATTATTTTCACTGCTGGTGCACTTCCCCGACACAATCGCTCAGCTTTGCTTTAGGAACAATCACACGTGGATCTAAAATGGCCTCCAGCATGAGTCACTCGGACAGGGGAGTGCAGACCAAGACGTGAGCACTTTTATAGGATTACAATTGCAGCTTTAAAACACGTTCATTATCATACAATCAGCACGAGGCTGCAGTCACCTCTTTGGAATTTTTATGTATATCTAAAAAAATCTGAGGGATGACTAGGCCTGTGTGTCCATTCTTATCTTAAAGGGCATATATTAGCTTTTTTTAAATCTATTTTATAACGCTGTGGTAATACACAAAGTGCTCCACTATGCTTTTAAACTCTTTACACCTTCATTAGAATAATTTGAATGATTTTAGCCCTGGAATTGCCAATCTCTTCTGAACTAAAGGTAAAAGTTAGCTGTAAAACTGGAAATTATCACTACATGACATCACAAGTTGGAACAGTACATTTTGAGCTTTTGGAGCAACTCACAACACACCATTTCTTCACAGCTTACAGCCCCCACACTTGATTGCTCCTCATTACTGTCTGTCCTGTCCTTGAACAAACAAATAAAAATATAAACGCACCATGATTTAATAGAGCATGTCAGTGTTGCTTGGTTTAGAGAAAATATTCATGCCTCACTGGTAGGGATGTAACAATAACCGAAATATCGTGATATTGTATCGTCAAAGGTCTCTCAATAATATCGTGGACCATCACAATATATCGAATTACAAGTCTCTTTCCTTAAATTAATAGTTATGGTGCAGAAGTAGCTTAATAAAACAGAGGGAACTACATAGACCATAATCGTTTGCCTGTTTTAGTGCAGACTACATGAAGAAATAACAGTTTTGAAGCTTAATTCCTTAGAAAAATAGCATATTCACAGTTTTGTTAGCCTCCACAAAATATCATGAGAGGTATATCGTGAAAACATCGTACCGAGAGATTT